GGTAAATTGTTTTCAAGTATGGAAAGGTGTTGTTCTCTTTGACACAGATTAAAAATAATAATTTTACCTAAATTGAAACCGAGGAAGTATTGGAAATCCACTAATTTCTAACTTTGCATATTCCTTTAATCTTGGTCTACTTGGAGTGTTACTTGTTTATCTTATGGAGATGCTTGTTAGCACGGAATGGTTGTTAGGTAAATCGGTCATAAATATTCTTTATGCCTGTTGCGCTCCTAATGTTTTTTTTTTCGGATTTGTCTTTTGTCCTATATTTTTTTTTATCGGTTGCATCTTAATATGAATAATTATATTGTGGATCTTTATTTAATATTCCGCTATAGATAATTTTTCGGAAGAAGATTATCCATTTAGCACTCCATTGAAGTTTATCTACAAATAGCTGATGCAGGCAGGTTGCAAGCACCTCAGTGAAATGATTTGCAACACCTTCTTATTAAACAGGCAGGTTGCAAGCAGTTCATGCAGACAACTTACAAGCAGCTCAAGAAAAACCTCGCAGCTGCTTTCCTGAAAAACCTCGCAGCTGCTTCCTGAAAAGCCTCACAGCTGCTTCCTTTCTTCTATAAATAGAGGAGTTTTTAGTTCATTATGTACATCAATTTAAAGTTGAATAATATCAATCTCTCTCTCCCTACACTTGTCTTCGGTTTATTTACTTTACAGTCTTTATTTTATAACACGTTATTAGCACGAGGCTCTGGCATTTTGAGCACTTACTTCGAATTTAATTTTTATTTCAGTGTTCATCTCCGATGCAAGGTGAAGCTCTTACGTCCGTGGTTAGATCTTATTCGTTCCGAGCATCATAAGGCAGAATATATTCTTGAGGTGGTAAGCTTTTCTTCTTGGTGGTAGTAATGTGGATATCACTTACGTCTGAAGTGGCCAAATTTGTGTAAAGTAATTTGAGCCTTTTGCTTATTTTGATTTAATATCTTTATCATCACTTGTTTGGTTATACGCTACGTATATAATACCTACTTTTGTATTTATTTTCATCCTAATTATCTTAATAAAGGATTACAAAGTGGATGACATTGTTAGATCTACTTAAACTACAACAGAGTTTGCAAGAAATATACAATCACCAGAAGTGGTTATGTTTCGTATATCTCATTGTAACTAAATTATGTTAACCACTAGAAGTGGTATATGCCCATGACCATCAGAAGTGATATTTAGACTTTCTATGGTTACAATTGAAGATAAGCTACATAAGTATTCTCAATATTACATGCACACCTCGATTTACTCCTGAAGTAGTAAATATTTTAAAAGAGGTTGAAGCATCATAATTTGATATGATTAATGCGCGTTTACATAATTATGTTCGATTTCCTGAAGAATGAGAATTTTTGTAAATATTAATCCATTCCCTGAAGTGAATGTGTCAATATTAATAAAGCCGCAAATATGAGCGCTATATTGATGTAAATATATTATGATTCACCTCCAGAAGAGGTAATATGATTGAGAGAATATATACTCAATTTTTCGTATTTTAAATTTGCTCGTGAAGAAGTAATACAATTGAAGTTTCCTCCTGAAGTAGGAAAATATTATGAATAGGTGTTTTCTTGTGCTTAAAAAATTATTTTATATTGTTCATTTGATTATGATTTTTCTCTCATGATACCAGAAGTGTCTGAGCAATATTTGATAGTACAAAATGTATCAAAAACTCCCGAAGAACTAACTGTTTGTCTAGAAGACACATGACACCAGTAGTGTCTGAATAATATTAGATTGTGGATAATAAATAAAGGCTCTCGAAGAGCTTATATACAAATATGTCATTCATATTATATGATTATGGTTAAAACATATGTTTTAGTAAACCCGAAATTTACTAATACAAATGGCTATCATATTGCGACTACAAATAATTGAAAGATTAAAAATCTTCATGTTTCCACAATCATAGGGGGTAAAATAATATGTATATGAGAAGTTACCCGCCTTATTCTTCAATTTGTACTATATCATGTATCACAGTAAACTAGAAGTTTACTAATGCAAAAATTTATGCCATAGTAAACCAGAAGTTTGCTAAGAGATAACACATGTCATGATAAACTTGAAGTTTTCATTAGCCATTTTTAGATGAGCTATTTGAGAATTCAGATAAGCATACTGAAGAACTAGAAGATTCTTCAAGAATTCTCTTGTGTTGCTTGTTCTCATAATAAATTGAATATACCAGCTAAAATTGGGACTAAGATCCCAGAATTCTAGAATATATAAAAGGTGAATATAGGCCAATTCACCTATCATGTGAACCACTTATAGATGCATATATGAAATGGTTACATATGTGTTTATTGTCAACCTACAGTTTGACATTTGAAATTTCTTTTCTCAATTAAGAGCATAACTTTCAGATTATGAAATCAAGACAGTTCATCTTGATAATGCTGGTTTATATCCAAGCTGGTTTAGCATTGAATACCTTCTACTAATGACTAAATTATTGTTTATGAGAACAAAGCTTTATGTGTTGGTGTAAGATTTTCTAAATTGCATACAACAACATTTGAATGCATCATACCAACAAGATATGATAAGTCCTCCCCTTACAATTGGTTCTGGATCAGAAATCAAATATTTTTACTATCTAATAACTTTTGATGCGTGATATATGATTAATTTCTCTGCCACAAAACACAAAGATAGGTTCCCAAAGAAGATTTGTGATATATGTTAGTTTTTCTAACATTAGAGGGATGAAATAAGAAACTGAAAAATATGTTATATGAATCGAATTATCATTAGTATGATCCTCATTCAGAAAATAATTCAAGTCAAATGCTAGAAGCATTTGTTGATCCAAAATAAAATATCATATTTAAGCTGCAAATGCTCCTATTAAAATTAAAGTCCCTGAAGGATATAGTTTACTGTACGCATGAAGCGTGGTAGACCAATTGGTTTCAAAGGTAACAATCCTTGAAAAGGATAGGAGAAAAAGATTAAAATGATCATAATAAGGAGGAAATAAGCTCTAGAAGAGACCACGACATAACATTTCATGAAACTCCAGAAGAAGTTTAGGTACCTGAAAATAAAGAAAGTAANTCGTGCATGGAATATATATTTTACAACCTTTATTTTCTTTAATTCTGAATTGTATAAATAAATTTTTGAATTTTTGTTGTTAATACTAAAATTATTATTACTAAAAAATTATTCTAATTAATTTTTTTAATATGCTCATTATTTTATTATTCCAGCATTATATATGCTTAAATACTTTTTATTTTTTTAATTTATAAATAATATTTATTTATTCTATAGGTAAGTCCATAATATAAATTAAAAAGGGAAAACTCATAATATTAAAAAGTTTAAAAAAATAGAAAGAAGATAAATGTTTATAATTTAGAGGGTAAAATAGGTATTTGGCAATCTAAAATTTGGAAAATCTAGTTGAGTGACCTTCTGAGTGCAATAACATAGTTCAGTGACTTTGTTGATTCAAACGAAAGAAAAGTGACTTTAGGAGATAATTTGGGATAGTTGAGTGACCATTTGAGTAATTAACTCAAAGCTTATCATTAATGGTAGAATAGTAAGTTTAAGCTAAATTGTTTCCAAATTTAGAAAGGAGTCATTCTTTTTGGAACGAACCAAAAAGAAAATAGGTTCACATAAACTGGAATAGAGGGAATATTTCTTTGGTGCATATAGTGACCTTGTGTTACATTGTGTTGACAGGGATTGGAACCAGTAGTTCGTTGTGTACATGACAAAGAGGAAGATATAATGATGGATTATGCTGACGAGTTGGAGGGTTTATCAAATCCTTTCAGGATTTCAGAAATTAGAGACATTGCTACTGCTCCTTTAATTTCTAGTGTTGATTTAGCTTCTTTTACTTATTGTATCACAAAGTTGAGTATGAAAGAGTGGTTTTTGTCCCGATCGAGGCCTTTAATTTGGACATATTTTATTTTATTTTAGTGTTATTAAGATGTTCGCGATATACTATTACAGTTGTGCAATGACGTTGTCGATAATTTAATTAGGGTTATTAAAATACAAAAACCTAATTCAAAGAAAATAAAGAAAGTTAATATATAATACTTTCTCCTTTCTAATTTACGTGAACATATTTTTTTTTAGATCCGTGTCAAAAAGAATGACTCTTCTTTATATTTTGATTAAATCGGTCATAAATATTCTTTATGCATGTTGCTCCCCTAATATATTTTTACTTTAGGGACTTTTTGTCCCCTTTTTTAAAACGATCTGCCCCCTAACTTCTTCACTCCCTTGTAAAATAATATATATTTTTTTAATTTCAACTAGGGAAATTAAAAAAATAAAGTGATAGGAAAAAAGCCAAGAGCACTAATATTGCTAGGTTACTACTGGAGGACTTAAAGTTCAGAATCTGAGAAGGATAACATCTCTTCTAAGTATGATGAATCAGATCAGATGGCACGGGAAGCATTAATAACGATGATGATTTGTTCATAAAAACGAGATTTTTTCTCTATATAAGAATGTTTTGAAAAACAAATTCTGAAAATCTGAGAAGCAAAATAAGAACATTGAGTAGAACGAAAATAGAAAAACTAAAATTAACACTTTGACGACAATTTATGCGTTAACTAACCTATTTGGTTTATTGTGTTAATAAGGCAGTTAGGTGCACTAAGTTTTCGTTATAGGCGGGGTCCGGAGAAGAATTGGATCATAAAAATCTATTATACTCAGTCTTATCTTATATTTTTACAAGAGACTGTTTCTACTGTTCAAACTCGTGATTCTTGTGTTGTGGATGAAAAATATGCAAATATTGGAACATGTAGGGGATATCTTCCTAGTACGAGGAGAAGAGAAAGTTCTAAAATTTTGTAGGGTCGTTACACAAATAGTCGACTAGATTTACGATTTACTTTTTTATCTATTACATTTGTCTCCTAGCTAGTCTTAATGGGATTAATCTTTTATAATGAGATTTGCAACTTGCATTGGTATCAGAGAATTGTATTTTCATTTTCAACTGCCAGTTGAATAAAACTTCCAGAAAATTCTCTCTCTAAAACTCCTTCCTACGGTCTATCAACCAAGCTCAATTATCACCTAACAATAGTAGAATTTAACATGGTATCAGAGCCGGAGTGAATCGATTGGAGCGAGAGTTTCGTTTTTGATTTGGTAACTGAAAGGTGCCGGTGCAATTTCTCAATCGATCTTCGTCTTCTGAGATTCTCTTATTTAGAGAAATTTTTCCAATGGTGAACTTAGATATCGATAATCCTCAACTTCCTTTGTACCTTCAACCGTCTGATGCTCCAGGGAATGTGATGATCTTAGTTCGATTGACAGGAACTGAAAATTATTTCGTGTGGAGCAGAGCAATGAAGATTTCATTGTGAGCCAAGCGCAAATTAGGATTTATCAATGGTACCTCCACCAATGCACAATTTACTGCTGATTTGGCCAAGGAATGGGAACATGTTAATACCACTGTTCTCACTAGGATTTGGAACACCGTATCGGCAAAATAGTTCAATGGGATAATTTATGCTAGTAACGCTCATGAGGTGTGGACAGATCTTCAGGATCGTTTCGACAAAATCAATGGATCGAGAATTCGCAATCTTCATCGAGAAATAGCCACAATATCTCAAGGTAATTCTAATGTTGCTGCCTATCATTCGAGACTCAAACTGCTATGGGATAAGTATAATACTCTTATTTCTTCTCTTCCTATAACACCTGAGACGAGAGATTTCATAAAATATTTAGAACAACAGAAGTTGTTTCGATTATTAATGGGCCTAAATGAAAGCTGCAACGCTATAAGTAGTCAAATTCTACTCATGTCTCCATCACCTAGTGTGAGTCGTGCCTATGCTATGCTAATACATGAAGAGAGTCGGGGGAAAGTTTGTATATCTGGAACATCCATGAATGAAATAAATGAGTCTGCTGCATTGATGAGTTCTAGGGATAATTCACAGAAATTCAAGAGGTACAACAATCTGTATTGTGAGTACTGTAAAAATAAAGGTCACACAGGATGTTTGCTATAAGCTGGTAGGTTGTCCACCTGGTTATAAAGGAATGAAAAAGCAGGAATATCGACTAGCAAATGCAACCATGAATGATAACATCTCTGTGAAGGATGATGCAGCTCGAGCTACCACAAATGTCAATAATAGTGGACCAAATCAGGTTATGCACAACTACTTCATGGATGAGCAATACAATAAGATATTAAGATTGTTGAATCAAGACAAAGAAGAGGATTTTGCATATATCAGGTAATGCAGATTCACAGTTGTTGGCAGGTAATATTAATACACAGTTATTGCAAAGTCATAAATCTTTCTAGATTATTGACACTGGGGCAACAAACCACATGGCCTCTAATGTTAATTTGATGGCTGATGTAACTAGTTTACCTAATTTTAAGAAGGGTAATGTTCATCTTCCAGTTGGTAAATCAACTCCAGTTGCTTTTCAAGGAAAATGCACTATAACTGGTGGTGATCTAATTCAGAATATTCTGTATGTGACTGATTTCAAGTACAAATTATTATAAGTCTCGAAGTTAACTAAGGAGTTACATTGATCAGCGCTTTTCTTTTCATCATTCTGTGTGTTCCAGGATCTATACACTGGGAGAATGAATTGGATTGGTAAGAAAAAAGGTGGTCTCTATCTCTTACTCCCAGATGGTTTAGATAGGAACAAAATCACACAGCAAATCAACAGTTGTTTGGCAAAGGATATAGTTGAAGACAGTCATGTACGGCACAGTAGACTTGAGCATATGCCAGCTAGAGTCGTGAAGCAGATAGCTTCCTTGAAAGACAAGATATCTACTAATTGCAATTTCAATAATTGTACTATTTGTCCTTTAGCAAGACAACTAGGAGACCCCACTTAACAATAGTAGAGCAGAATCTATTTTTCAATTAGTGCATGTGGATATTTGGGGGCCATATCAAGTGCCTACTAATAATAGACACAGATATTTCCTAACACTTGTTGATGCACATTCTAAGATGATTTGGGTTTTTTGATGAAATTAAAAAGTGATACACTAATTCTCTTGGAGGCTTTTGTTAAAATGGTGCATGTAAAGTTTGACAAAGCTATTGAATGTTCAGGACTGATAATGGTGCGAGTTTTTTTAGCTCAGACTGTAAAACTTTTTTGTCAAAAAGTGGCATATTGCATCAAAGTAGTAGCCCATATAATCCATAGCAAAATGGAGGAGTGGAAAGGAGACATAGACACATTCTAGAGTGGCTAGAGCTTTGAGGTTTCAGGGGAGTATTCCATTACAGTTTGAGGAGACTGTGTATTGGCAACAATATAACTGATAAACAGATTTCCTTCTTCAGTTCTATCAGGGAGGTCACCATATGAGATTTTTCATAAGTCAACTCATTGACTATACCACTTAAGGACCATGGGATGCTTTTGCTTTGCCAAAGCTACTGACAAGCCTGACAAGTTCTCTCTCAGGGCCATAGAAGTAGTCCATGTGGGATATTCAACATCCCAAAAGGATTATAGACTATATAATCTCAAGGACAAAAAGTTCTTTGTTAGTAGGGATGTAATATTTAGACAGGACATATTTCCTTTCCAGTTAATAAAAAGGGGAAGATATCCTCATCTTTTATTTGATTCAGTAAAGTCTTCTGCAACATATCCAAGTCCCAATCACCAACACAATTTGCGTGATAATGTTAATGACAATGACCAAGTGCAAATTGGTCTTGAACAACTTCAATAGTTAGAAGAACCAGCTGATATTGTTAAAGGAATAGAACAACCAGTTGATGTTGTTGATGGAATGGAGCAATAACAAGTTGACTTTGTTAATAAGGAGCCTGCAGGTTCACAATTGAGGAGGTCTTCTACAGGCTCAAATCCACCGATCTGTTCAAAAGACTACATTTGTCTAACTATGAAAGCATCCTCTTCTATATGCCTATATCCTCTGTCAAACTACATGAGTTATAACTCCCTCTCTAACAGTTATCAGTCTTATCTGGTTGCAACTTTCTCAGAAATTGAGCCAAAGTCTTATACTAAGGCCATGAAGGATTCAAGATGGAGAAGCCATGCAAGCTGAAGTTGAGTCATAGGTTAGCAATATCACTTGGGAGATCGTTACTATTCCAAAAGGAAAGGCTCCTATCGGGTGTAAATGGGTTTACAAAATCAAACATAAATCTGATGGCATAGTTGAACGATATAAAGTCAGACTAGTTTCCAAGGGATACAGTCAACAAGAAGGCCTAGATTATCAAGAAACTTTTTCTCCGTAGTCAAAATGATAACCATCGGGGCTGTTATTGCCCTAGCAGCTATGAATCAGTGGAGTTTATTTCAAATGGATGTTTATAATGCATTTCTTCAGGGTGATCTTGAAGAGAAGGTCTGTATGCAGTTGCCTCCTAGATTTGATATTCAAGGAGGGAATAAATGTTGCAGACTACTCAAATCATTATATGGGCTCAAACAAGCATCTCGACAATGGAATCTAAAACTCATTACGGCTCTCTTGAAGGCTGGTTTTATACAAAGTCAACATGATCACTCGTTATTCATTCTGAAGAAACACCACAGACAAGTTATAATACTTATATATGTTTGATGATCTTTTTATTACTGGTGATGATGTTATCTTGATCCAGGAAGCCAAAGACATTCTACAACATGCCTTTAAAATGAAAGATTTGGGAATTCTGAAATACTTTCTAGGAATTGAAGTATGTAGATCTCAAAAGGGAATATTGCTATGTCAAAGGAAATATGCCTTAGAACTCATATCTGATTTAGGATTGAGAGGTTCTAAACCTGCATTAACACCCATGGAATAGAACAGAAGGCTGACAACTATTGAATATGATCTACATTGTAGCCTTCATGATGATATAGTATTAACAGATGTGAGGGAGTACCAGAGATTGGTAGGAAAGTTGTTGTATTTGACATTAACTAGGCCAGACATTGCATACATTATACATACTTTAAGTCAATTCATGCAATCACCCAAGAAGTCACTTGGAAGCAGCCTACAGAATAGTGAGATATATAAAGAATGAGGCAGGACTTGGCATATTAATGAGTTCAGAAAGAGGTACTACTTTGAAGGCATATTGTGATGCAGATTGGGCAAGTTGCCCAAATTCAAGGAGATCAATAACTGGTTACCTAATAAAGCTTGGGGGTTCATTGATATCTTAGAAAACAAAGAAACAAAATACAGTGGCAAGAAGCTCAGCTGAATCGAAATACAGGAGCATGGCACTAACTGCAGCAGAACTTGTCTGGTTGATGGGATTGTTCAAAGAGATGTAGGTCAAAGTTCCTACTCCAATTCAGTTGTTTACAGATAGCAAAGCAGCAATGCAGGTAGCTAGTAATACTGTGTTTCATGAAAGGACTAAGCACATAGAGATTGATTCTCACTTTATAAGGGAAAAGGTTCAACAAGGTATGATACAACCAGAGTATGTACCAACTAATGAGCAGGAAGCAGACTTGTTGACAAAAGGGCTTGGAAGTGCTCAACATTATCATTTGTTGTCCAAGCTAGGGATGCTGGACATACCTAGCTTGAAGGGGGTGTTGGAATGATAAGTCGACCGTAGGTGACTCGTACATCTGTGAATCATGTGAAATGTTTTGGTAATAGTCTGTTAGTAGCTGGTACATATTAGAGAGTTAGTGGTAGTTAATTAAGTAGTTGTATTAGTTATATATACATACGTGTACAGTGTAATAGTTCAGAGAATTATATTTTCATTTTCAATTGTCAATTGAATGAAGCCTCTAGAAAATTCTCTCTAAAACTCCTTCCTTCGATCTATCAACCAAGCTCAATTTCACCTAAAAATGGTGGAATTTAACACTAACCTCTCGAAACTGTTGCACAATTCATTCACAAGGCAAGGATGCAGGACTGTGATTTTCTTCTACGATCCTAGTTAACATCACAAGGAATACTCGTGTAGGCAAGTATTATGGGTGAAACTTGTGCTCTACTTATAACACACGAATTAACCAAACCGTGTACAAGTCTGCTAGGGTTGTAAAGTCCTAGTCTAACTAAGTAGAGAACTTTTCTCTCAAGTAACTTTCTTCCAAGTCTGTTAATTTTACTAGACATAGCAGGGATCACATAAATAATAAGAGGCTTCCAATTATAGTATTAATTCGAAATATTTACTAAATTAATTTCTATTATAATTAATCACAGTTTATTCCACTAAAAATTGTAATTGAACTCCTCAATATCAATTTAAAAATTCATCAACATTTATTTAACTCCTCAAGTTAAGATTTTCAGATACTAGTTAATTAAATTAAACTACTGACAATTTAATTTATTTTAATCAACTAATTAAATCCTTTATAATTTCGCTTAAATTATTTTATGTGTCGGATACAAAATTCATCGGTCGGGTTTACACATGAAAACTTATAAGCTTTCATAAATAGGTATCATCAAACTCAAGGTCGAATCATAGATTCTATCAACTAATTATTATTTCACAAATGTCATTTGTTATTGTCCAATCTGTTAGTAGGAATGGCAAGAATGGCGGGGTGGGTGCGTGGCGGGGTGG